TCCAGCCCCCTCGACCAGCGCATGCTCCAGCTGGATACCTTGAGCTCCCTCCGTCAACGGGGGACTGGTCTGAGGGAGTTCGCCAGGGAATTTAGAAATGCTGCAGAGGGGCTGGGCTACAATGACCCCGCGCTAAAGGACTTATTCAATTATGCCCTTGATGATAGGCCCATTAGTCACTGGAGCATGTTAGGATCCGCTCATGTGTCCTTTGAGGGGTTTGTGGAGTTCTTGGCACATTCCCCCGAGGCGGCAATCCACGGGGCGTCAGAGGCCTCGTCTGCCGCACCCAGTACCTCACGCCCGTTCCAGGAGCCTCCCGGGCTGATACGCAGCGTGCAGGAATCCCCGCTGATGTCGGTGTGAGCGGCATGGTCCGCTCGCAAGGCTCCCGAGGCGTCGGGGCCCGCTGAGGTTCCCTCCGAGGCGGCGGGGCTCACTTCCGGCCTTCCCGAAGCGGCGGAGCCCACTGATGATCCCTCCTTGAGGCAGGTTTCCCTCTTGCTGCCTGCCAAGCTGCCGGCCCAGCCCTGGCCTCCTGCCCTGCCGGTCCCACCCTGGCACCCTGGTTTACCTCCATCTCCAGGGCCTCTTCCACTACACGGGCCTGGCCCACCATCCCTCCCCCTGGTCCACCTCCGTTCGCCTCCGTCCGGGATTTCTTTTGGTGGAGCGTCTGGAATCCGCTCCTTAGGGGAGGGGTTCTGTCACAGTCTTCAGTGGGTGTGCCCAGATGGCCACCAGATGACACTGTGTTCTGTGAGCACATGGCTTGCACTTTACTTCGCTTTAAAGTCTCGATCCGCATACACTGCAGCTGAGGATTAGTTCAGTACCATGAAAAGGCATCTTATTTTGTTAGTGAACACACAAAGGTGCAGTCACATTAGTGAAATTTTGCAGGCAAATAAAAGTACAGTGTCCGTTTTCATTAGTGTAGTGATGTTTGAATCACAACTCAGAAGTCACTTTCAAACCAAGCAGTGAATTTGCTTGACCAGCTTGAACCCAGTGTAAAATCTGCTTGGGTAAAACTTTTGTGTAGATTGAAATGACTGCACTTTACCTGCAAAAATTCGCCAAATGGTAAATGTGACCACATCTTAAAATAAGTAAACCAAAAAGAACAAAACAGTGAAATTCTTTTGAATATTTTTTTAATATTTGATCTGAAACATGCTGGTCAGATCTTTAGCCCCTCTAATGACCAGCATGGCGGGATCTTTTCCTTCTTCTTCCAGCTTTTTTCTTCTTCTCCTTCAGACGCATATTTCTCTCCGCCTCCTCGTGTTGTTCATCTCTGTCCCAAAGCTGAGACCTGTTTCCTCCCCATCCATAAACGGGTTGTAAAACGTAACCTGCAGAAACCAGGAGAACCGATCAGTGCATTTGTTTCATCATTAGATATTGTGCCATACTGCAGTAGGTTTGCATTTGGTAGTCCTAAATCTTATATCACTTTGCTGAAATACTAATATGTCTAATGTCTCACCATCAGTAAAAGGTGGGTCCATGTGACGACCTCCTGGTTGGTTGCGAGTGTTCATTGGTGCCGATATAGCAGACACAGTCACTGCAACATTCACTGACAGCATTTGACGAGATGCCCGAGCTGATTTAGAACAGATAATGTGGTTTTAAAGTGTTCATTACGATAAATAGTGAATAGACATACACTTGAAATGACACTTCTAAGAGCTCATTAGATGGTGTTTCTCAAGTCATTTGAAAAATAACAAATAAATAAATGAACATTGTACCATTATTCCGATGGTCTGCATGAATGACTCCAGCAATAAAGCCATTTCCACATCTGTTGCAAATAGTAAAAAATAAGTTTACTCAAAAAATAAATAAATAATTTTTTTTTGAAAACAAATGATTAGCAATTAGCATAGACTTTCTAGCCTGTAAAGGAGCAGTTCATCCAAAAATGAAAATTTGCTGAAAATGTTTTCACTCTCAGGCCATCCAAGATGTAGATGAGTTTGTTTGCATTACATAATGTGCTCACCAATGGATCCTCTGGAGTGAATGGGTACCGTTAGACCAACAGCTGATAAAAACATCACGATAATCCACACGACTCCAGGCCATCAGTTAATGTCTTATGAAGTGAAAAGCTGTGTGTTTGTAAGAAACATATCGATCAAGAAATTTTTATCTTCAAACTGCTTCCGGCTAAACTATGTCTTCTATTCATAACATTGCTCATTCTGACGGCACCCATTCACTGCAGAGGATCCACTGGTGAGCAAGTGATGTAATGGTTAATTTCTTAAAATCTGTTCTGATGAAGAAAAAAAACTGCTCTACAAATTAAATGACCTGAGGAATTACCTGAGTAAATTATCAGCAAATTTACATTTTTAGTTGAAATATTCCTTTCAACACATGAGAACTGTTTGCAATGCATGATGGTACTATGGTGAAAAAACTTTTAGGACTTCACGGTTGTATTCAAATGTTACCTTTACGTCTTCGCCACTAGCAACCGCCATCTTGTCTCAATACGTCATACGTATTGAGGCGTCCAAATTTTACTTTTTGTTTTATAACATGAAGGAAATCCATGTCGTCATCTCATATTCCAATAAAACAAAATTCATTGAAACAAAAGTAAAAAAGAAGTATTTGCTGTTGAGTTTTCTCCTACCTTCTGTGTCATGCCGTTTATCTGGAAGTTCTCCTATTGTAGCTGGATTTGGACAGTCTTCCATTCCTGTTTAAAAGTTTAGTTTACCTGTACATAACAGAATTTGTTGTTCTCTTGTGAACTTATAAAAAGCACACTCGCTTTTATAAAGTTCACTTAAATTATCTCCATTCAGGATAGATGTTTGTTCTGTGCTGGTCTTCTCGGTTCCTGCTGTTATGTGGAATACATGATGATACATCCTTTCTGACACAGGAAAAAATATTTCCTCTGTCAGCCAGCTGTAATCTTTAACTCTTTATATCCATACAATAAACAGTGCTGCTTGAAATATTCCCAGTACTCTTTCAGCCGGTTGTCTGTCATTTCTGCAAACAGCAAATGGTTTTCATGCAAATAAAAGGGCTGGGACTCTTACAGTTCCTGTTTTTGTTCTTCTGAGAAAACCAGTTTTGCATTTATGGTTTTGGTTATGACTAATGGAATTAAGGCGTTACAGCTGACCTGTTATGATCTGTAACACACTCCGTGCAGATCTTTGCTCATTTATTGCAGATTTTTCTTCTCTATTACAGATATTCTTATATAATTTCTGAAAATACAGATCCATAATTATTAAATAATGTTTAAAAAAAACTTTAATTAGTGTAGCCTGGAGTGAGTTTTGCTCTCTTTGTTTTTTTAGTTAGTTTCACTTTGATTTCCACGCCACACAGCTCCACATCAATTTCACCTAGTCAACCGGGTGATGAAATCAGGTTTCTCAAACTTAAGACATCTTGTGCACAGCATTTCCACATATCAGCCAAATTAGCACAAAAAACTTTTTAGAAAACGATTCGAAATCCATGCGCATTTCGAATGCACCAAATTTGATTAATTTGAATACATTTTGAATTTACTTAGAATAAATACATTTGAATTCAAATTTTTGTGGTACACAAAAAAATTCTTCATATCTTTAGCTATGTACTCACAGCAGAGGTCTACATCATTATGAACCAAAACTGAACTCTTGTTCGGATGTTTGGAAAAACTGTTTAGAGGCCAATGCATGTGATCTTAAGCAAAACATTGTAGGACTGCAAATGTGTTTGCAGAAACTTGTAATGCTTGATCTATGTAGTAGACTTATTTGTTTTCTCTCCTGACCACTAGAGGTCATTATAAGAGTTAGCTGAGAGGTTAAAAAAAGCTGACTCCAGAGGAGAGAGGAAGCAATAGTGATGAAACTGAATGAAAACAGAACGCTTTCTTCCCCAACTTCATTCACTATTCATTCACTGCTCATCGCCTCCGCTTGATTTCATGTGTGTATTTATAGTTTGCAGACTCATTGTTTTGCTGTCACTTTGTATGGTACTGCATCAGTTCTTTAATCGGACCCTGCGTCCATTGAAATGGACATCACATGATTTTTTGTTTAAACCAATAAAATGTTATGTTTTCATAATATGAGCAATGCCTGGTCACTGATTGGTCCCTGATCAACCTAACACAATGAAGATATGACTCCTAACTTAATCTGATTGAGCTACAGGCATCACAAAAGAGAGACGTGACTAACCAACTAGACAAGAAGAGGAGGAAGTCCTCATTTGACCTTTTATATGCAGATTTATGTTTATGGTAGCCTCATCAAATTGCACTTATTATAAAATTAAGACTATCAAACGATAATATCCAAAGTTATTTTGAAGATCTTTCAAAGTTGCAGAACACAGGATTTAAAAAAAAATGAATGTCCATCACAGTGGACATCAGGTCTTGAAAGGTCCTCATGAATTAGTTGTATAACAGGTTGAGAAATGTATGGAAGCATTTCAAAGCTAAATACAGAGCTACAAATTCTAATGTTAATGTTTTATGAACATTGATGGTAATTAATTAAATTAATATTAATATGATTTCATTTGTCTTCAAAGTGACCATAGCCTGTCAATCAACTTTTCATTGGTTTTAGTGAGAAACAGCCATAGTGGATGTGAGATCAGTGAATACACAGCAACACACACACTCACACCCCCTCCACAGACACTAATGCCTTGATGCTATAATGCACACAATCATATATTCATCAAAACAATCAGCAAGTACACAAACCCATTCACATACACACAAAGACGTTTATACATATACTCAGATTCATCCACTTCAACCAACATAAAGGATCAAACAGGTTTTTTTGAGACTTCATATCTTACCTTTTTTCCACATTCTTACTGCATTGTTCATAGTATGTGTTCTTTTCTTAAACACTAGAACAACTATAGTGCACAAGCTCTACTTATGTATGGTTAAAATATGAGGATTTTTATTTTTCTTCAGTCCTGGTGTCCATTATAGTGGACATGAAAAAAATCTAATAAAAAAATTAATTGGCACAAATCTTGTTTTTTAGATTTATTTCTATAATGGAGCAAAGATCAAGTGGATAAAAACCATTTTTGTTCAGTGAAAAAAATTCAGGTCTGAAGGGGTTAAGTGATAGTTCACCCAAAAATGTCAGTCTGTCATCATTTACTCACTTTCATGTCTTGTGAAGAGAAGTTTGTGTGTGAGATGCACGAAAAACCAATGAGGTTTGTTTTAGCATGTGATGTGCACATGAGCTTCCATATTTACCACTCTATGTAGTATTTATGTAGGAATAAAAGCCTGAATTAAATTAAATTATATATATCTTCACTAGACTTGAGCCACCTGATTCATATGGTTTCATTTTATGACACCTTTATAACCTTTTTGGATATTTTTATGTTTTGGTTACCTGGACTTTCATTGGAGGCACAGAAACTTCTCCGGTTTGATTTAAAGGGGACCTATTATGCAAAAATCACTTTTATAAGGTGTTTGTCTACAGTTGTGTGTCTGCAGTGTGTGAAAACAACCATATAATGGTAAAAATCTGCCCATGCATTTTTTTTTTTACAATCCTTCTACATCATAAACAGTCTCTCAGAACAAGCGATTCCAGATTTCTTCCTACATACACGTCATCGTAGGGAAAAAAAAGTCCCACCCATTTGTGATGGTCTCTGCCCTAATAGCATAAATACAGCCCTGAGTGAGAAGCAGCAGTCTGCCATTACTGTTTTCTTGCTGTAGCTGCTGGATATACAATGTCAGCGTCAAAGAGGCATTACAAGTGTTGTGTTTTGGGATGTACCAATGAACACTGGAGTCTTTATAGACTCCCTCCATCTGAGCCGCTGAGGACACTGTGGTTAAATTTAATTTTCGAAGGAAATATCCTGAAAAAAAATTGGTAAAGTCCCCTATATGTTTAGGGATCAATACCAATGCTTCATGCGTGAACGTCAGCTCCAGACAAAGTAAGTATCATTGTAAATAGGAATGTGGTAGTTAAAAGTTGCATATGAAAGCAATGTGAAGTCGACTGCTTGAATTTGCCGAGCTCAGAATCACAAGTGGGACTTATAAAGTTTGTAATAGCACACGATGGCACCATGAGACCAGCTATGTCATTATTTTTATTGCGCCATGCTCCCTGCTGTGTAATTCATAAATGCGAATTTATTATGCACAGTACAATCAGATGACTGACTTTTCAACAGAGTACATTTTCTGTAAAGATAACAAGCTTGTACTAATAGCGGAATGTTTATTTGCAAAGGCTAGCACTGGTATTGACGATAAATCTTTTGAATTTACAATAATGAAGGACAACTTGTATTGTCATTTTGTAAGTATTATTTATTTAAAGAGTACAGTACAGAAAGTTAGAGTTATAGAAGTTTATAAAGATTTCAAGGATTACTTATAGGGATAGTTCACCCAAAAGTGAAAATTCTGTCATTAATTACTCACCCTCATGCCGTTCCAAACCCAGTAAGACCTTCATTAATTTTCGGAACACAAATTAAGATATCTTTGATGAATTCCGAAAGCTCTCTGACCCAGCATAGACAACAATGTAACTGAAATGTTCCCAGGCACAGAAAGATACGTACGTCATGGTACTCTAGATAATGGCGCCTAGGGTGACGCGGAGGAGAAGAATTGGTGAATAAAGTCTATGCAGAAAGTATAGTAGCTTCGAATAGTAGCTTCGTAAAATTACGGTTAAACCACTGATGTCACATGGACTATTTTAATGATGTCCTTACTACTTTTCTGTGCCTTGATCGTTGTAGTT